CCCATTTAACCTCACAGTGACCGTCCCCTACGGCTGACCCATTTAACCATCACTGCACAGAAGCCACTTCAATTGACATCTCGTTCTAGACATCATGCCCACATGCAATCATCTGAAAGAAAGCATGGCACAGTGTGGAGTCCACTGGGACCACGTGGGGAGACTGAGCAGGGGCCAGGTACCAGCAGGACCACAGGAATGTGGCCACCTGACTTTCCACACTAACCCTTCTGGGACCTTGGCACATACAGGAGTGAGCCTGCTGTTTCCAGGGGTTTGGGTCTCTTTTGTCGAGGAGTTCCTTATTTTTCCAAGGCGTTTGCACTTATGAGTGAGCTGACACATGCAAGTTGTAGGTCTGAAACAATCTGGTCTGTCAGGAACTCCACGGCACAAACTCCATTTCTCATTGTCTAATGACCTAGGCTGTAAACCAGTCACAGAGCAGCCTGGCAGCGCCAAACCCAGAGCTATTGTTTTCAGTTGAGATATAATCCACATAACATGAAAGTAACTGTTTAAAAGTGAACAGTTCAATGTCACTTAGGGCAGCCACTAAGCCGTGCAAACCTCACCTCTATTTAGTTCCAGCCCTGAAAGAGCCCTTTACCCATCAGCAGTCTCTCTAATTCCCCTTCTGTTAGTCCTGGCAGCCCCCAGTCAGCTCTCAGCGTGGACCTTCCTACTAAAGGCATGTGGTAGAAATGGAATCAAGACATGGCCTTCTGTGGCCAGCTTCTTTCTCACAGCCTAATGTTTTCAAGGTTCATCCACATTGCTGCAGCTGTCTGTGCTTCCTTCCTCTTCAGGGCTGAGTAATATTCCCGTGTATGGATAGGCCATGTTGCTTTATCCGTCTACCCGCTAATGGACGTTTGCGTCATCTCCTCTGTTTGGCTGCTGTGAATATCGGTGCAGTGAACACTCATCTAGAAGATTCTGTTTGAATATATATATTCAATTCTCTTGAGCATATACTGAGCAGTAGAGTTGCTGGGTCATATGTTAATTCTGTTTCATTTTCTGGGGAACCACCAAACTGCTTTCCATGGTGGCTGCACTATTTTACTTTCCACCAGCAATGTAGCGGGCCTCCAGTTTCTCCACATCCTCGCCTACACTTGTTATATTCTGTTTTTTTGATTACAGCCATTCTGGTGGGTGTGGATTTGCATTTCTCTAATGACTTACGATGTTGAGCATCTTTTCAAATGCCTGTTGTCCATTTTTATATCTTCTTTGGAGAAATGGCTATTCAAGTCTTTTGCCCAGTTTTAAATTGGGTTGTTTATCTTTTTGTTTTTGAGTTGTAAGGATTCTTTAAATACTCTGGATACCAGGCCCTTACTGAGTATATGATTTGTATTTATTGTCTCCCATTCTGTGTTTTACCTTTCCTCTTTCTGGTTTGCTTTCTTTTTTTTTTTTTTTTTTTTAATGTCACACCCACCAAAAATTACTCAAGCTGCCAGCCAAGATGTAAATAGGCAGAAGAATTGGGGATGACCTGGACCTGCAATCGTGTGCAGTGGCATCCCCTGGCTGGAGGGGCCCACCTGTCAGTGAAGGACACCCAAGGCCTCCCCAGAAAACAAGGGGAGCCCCCAGTAGGCAGACAGCGGCTGGGAGAGGCCACAGAATGGGGGCACCAGAGAGATGGGAGAGATGGCCAGTGGCAGTGGGGAGAGGACAGCCAGGAGGATGCAGGGCACGACAGGATACGAGAAGCCTTGAAGCGCTGAGGGCAGCAGTTCACTTCAGTTCACTCCAGTTCACTCCAGTTCACTCCAGAGCAGAGGAGACGTGCAGGGGGATCCACCAATGCCCGCCGGCACAGAAACAGGTGTCGGAGGAGCCCCAAGCCAGCTCAGGCGGAAAGAGAGGCCCCGAAATATGCAATGCCTGTGAACAAACCTAACAAAAGACACTCAAACCACAGCTGAGAAAAATTTAAAGATCTAAATGCGCAGAAAGATATAACATGCTCTTTGATTGGATGATTCAATATTGTTAAGATGGCAGTTCTTCCCAAACTGATCTATACGTTCAATGTAATCATATTAAAATCCCAGCAGGAGTTTCTACAGAAATTGACAAGCTGATCCTACAATTGACATGGAAATGCAAAGGACCCACAATAGCCAATTAAAGAGAAGGGCACAGCTGGGTACTACCCTACTGAGTTTAAGCCCTCTCTAAAGCCACAGTATTAAAGATGATGTGGTTATTAGAGAAAACATAGAAATATAAATGAATAGAAAAGAATGGTGTGAGTCTAGAAATAGACTTCTTTGGGTCTTCTTTGGGTCTTCACTGGACAATTTACTTCACAAAGATACGAAGGCAATTCAATAGGGAAAGGAACATCTTTTCAATAAATGGTGCTGCATCAACTGTATATCCAAGAAAACAAATGGACACCAGCTCTACCCTCATGTCATACCTAAAAGTTAACTCAAAAGAGGAGTCTAGACTTCACAGTGGTTTAAACTACTGTAAAATTTTACAAGAAAATGTGAAAAAAATCCTTCAGACCTTGCGGGTAGTCACAGGACTCTTAGAACACAAAATGACAAAAAGCTCACAAGTTGGTCTTCCTCAAAAGGTTTTCAAATGTCTTTTGAAAGTCAATATCAAGAAAATTGAAAAGATAAGCCTTAGATTGGAATATTCACAACAAGGGTTTATATCCAGAATATGTGAAGAACTCTTACAACTCAATAATAAGAAAACAAAGAAGCCGATAAGAACACGGGCAATTATTTAAGCAGACACCACCAGACAAGATACATGGATGGCGAAGAAGCACATAAAGATACCCTCAACACCATTAGTCACTAGGGAAATGCACATTAAAACCCTGATGAGATACCACCAACCCATGAGGACAGTCAAAACCAAGAAGGCTGAGCACACCACGCACTGGTGGGGGTGCAGAGAAACTGGGATTCTCACACACAGTTTCTGGGAATGGGAAATGACACCACTGCTTGGGAAACAGTTAAACACGCACCTGCTGTGTCACACAGCAACTGCACTCCTAGGTATTTATCCAAGAGAAATAAAAACATACGGACTTATACAAAAATGTTCATGGTAGCTTTATTTGTAATAGTCCAAAACGGAGAACAACCTGAACTTCCATCCGCAGGTAAATGAACAGATTTGGTCTATCCATACAACAGAACACTTCGCAGCAATAAAAAAGAACAAATGGCTGGTGCTAGAAACATGGATGAATCTCAGAACCTTTATGCCAAGTGCACGCAGACAGACAAAAAGCTGTGTGATTTCATTTGCACAAAATGCTAGGACAAGCAAACCATCTACAGCGACTGGAAACAGATCAGAGGTTGCCTGGGGAAGAGCTATGGGGAGGAATTACGAGGGGCCACAAAGAAGCTCCTG